CCATTTAAATTAAAACCAAGTTAACATCATATCCTCTCTTCAAAAAAGTGTTAACTTTGAGGATGATAACTTGACTTGGTTTTCAATTTCAATTAATGGTGACTAAGGTTTTGAGCTATAGTTTTCGTCTTCCAGTTTTCCTCATGAAAATAGGCACCAAAAAAGATTTAGAAAAAGCTTTAATTTCAGACGTCCAAAAATTAACAGTATGTGCCCAGGTATTATGTAAAAGCAAGAACAGAGTAGAAGAAACTCTCGTGCTAGATGCATCAAAATGTACTAAGGTCATCTATTTGATTGCTAATTTAACAATTATTTGAAAAAGTTTATCCTTGTACAAAACTGGGATTCAATAAGATTACTAGTATTGGGGCTCCGCACTGAATTTTCCAGTTCCATTTTCTGGTACTGCGGCTGCAGTAACCTTGAGATGTTCATATTTTTGCAGAGTTTCGTGTTAATAATGCAGGACCAGTAACAAGCCCTCCAAAATTTAAAGAGGAGAGTACCAGAAGAAAAAAGAAAGGAAACCAACAGAAGAAGCAAGAAAGGCAAACACTGCAGCGGCAGCCAGTGAGAAACCTGTACAAATAGAAGAAAACTCAACTTCACTTCCAAATATTTCCAAGGTTCTGGTGCTGATCTCTTTGACACCTAGAAAGGTAAGGGCAGGAAACTAACTCGTCAGACAGCCCCGGATACGATCTTGGAAGCACAAAACCAGGATAAGACGCCTGAAGATTGAAAAAAATTAGCGGATCAAGTATTTACTAGGGGAAGGCAGAAGTCAGCCGAAGAGGTTTTGAAGTCAAGTGACGCAGTGCCTAGGACACCCCTCCAGGCTTTTCGGATGAGTGGGGCCACGAAGAAACAAAAGGTTCTACAGCAGTGAGACGAAGCGGCAGACAGAACAAAAAATAAGGGCCAAACTGTTACGGGGACCCGATAACGCATTCGGTCAAGCTAAGCGGCTCTGAGGCAGACATTACATATCTGAACAAAGTCGCTCTCGAGGCGAACCGGATGAAATTTGCTACGTTCACGAACAGAACAGACGAATCGGTGAAGACGCGATTCAGATTCTTGGAACGGCACTTATTTAGAAGGAAATTGGCTATTCGTCACTGGACATCGCAAAGACTTGGAACTCAGCGTGGCAATTATCACTCTTATTTGAAGCAGCCGAGGAAGAAAGAGATGCGGTTTAAGAGCAAAACTTAACATGAACTTCTTGAACTAAGTACCAACACTCCTATATATACTTGAACTTTGTACTTATAATATAAAAAATTTCTTTGTACTCAGGGGAATATGGTACTGCGGCTACAGTGTTCTTGAGATGTTCATGTTATTATATGTATATTTATTGGTGTAAATTTACCCTCAAGGCCATTATGTGCCGAGTTAAAACATACGAAGACTGTCAGTCAGTCTACCGTATGAAGATACGATTTCAGTTATGCAAGCTAAAGCATGTGTACAAAAGACAAATAGATCAGTCTAAATTTACAATTTAAAATCTTATTAGTTTTCACTCAGAAGCTTATAGTATCCCTGACAATATCACTCGTTTTTTGTCTCTGTTGTTTTTAGTGATGAAAAAACTATGTAATTTTTTGGATGTATTTGTTCTTCCAATGAAAAAAACGAATTTGAACTGCAATTTTAATGTTTTTTTTTGCACATTTAGTATTCGGGTTATTAAGATTCTCACATTTCAACTTAAATTTTTTCCCGGTTCAACCTATCTTTTTTTCCGAGTCAATCTAAAGTTTTGGCCTAGGTCAACCTATCGCAAATTGACCAAACGGCAATTTTCAAAAACCTTGGTTTTTAGACTCAATAGTGGCATTAATTTTTTTTTTCTTTTTGAGTTTATGGCATCAATAACTTATAGATAACAAAATAATTGTTACTTACAAGTAGAAAGAAAAATGCAAGGAGGAAAAAGGGTCGATTCGAAATGGTCCGTCACTTTCTTCGAAAATGGAACAAAATTATTTCGGATTTCAAAATTTAAATAAGAACTAGAATCCAAATATGGTATATGGCAGCTGTGGGGATTATTCAAAGCCCAGTAACAAAATTTAAAAGATTGCGTAGAGGTGTTTAGCGGGAATTAAAAAGCATTTTGATGTAGAGTTTCAGTAGTTAAATTTTATATAACTCTTCGGAGATGAAGTAACATAAGCTGGCTTGTGTTTGTGAAGACTTCGAGACCGAACAGGGCGTGCCAGTGATGGACATTGGAGGTGGTTTGTCGTTCCAGCTGTTCCTCTATGACCCCTCAGACACTGTTTTGACCACGTGGGACAAGAGCTACTCCTTCGATATTGCGCCCGGGAAAAGTTACAAGGTAAAGCCAACTAGAATATGCATAACGACACAAGAGCTTTTCTTAGAGAAGAAAGACAAATTAGCCAAAAGCCTTTTTATTCCAATAGTCATTCAGAAAAAAATTCAAAAATGAGTTGGGAATTTTATTGTCAATTTTGAAGTTGAAACTAATTGAATCTGATTTAAATTGAAGCTGATTTAAATGGAAGCTGATTTAAATTGTGAAGCTGATTTAAATTGAAGCTGATTTAAATTGAAGCTGATTTAAATTGAAGCTGATTTAAATTGAAGCTGATTTAAATTGAAGCTGATTTAAATTGTGAAGCTGATTTAAATTGAAGCTGATTTAAATTGAAGCTGATTTTAATTGAAGCTGATTTAAATTGAAGCTGATTTAAATGGAAGCTGATTTAAATTGACCGATGTGGCTTAGGTTTTAACAAAAGCGACTCACGTCTGTAGAAGAAAAAAAGCCAACCCGAGCACTTCTTCGAAAGTCTGAAAAATAAGAAAGAAACCGTTAAGTAAACATAACACTGTGAAAGGAAAAGTTCGGTAAAATTTTTGTTAAGTTTTGTATTTAGGATCTTGCGTAAATAACTTTTGTAAATTGGAAATAAGAGATAGTAATTTAGCCACACTGTTAAACATGTATTGTTTAAAGGTTGGTCTGTCTTCTCGGAAATATCTCGACAGCAGTGGCTTCACAAATTGCATCCCTGAGGGGAAAATGGGGTAAGTTTAGTCAAACTTGATCGGGCATTCTTTTTTGTAGATAATTTAGGGCTCCTTTCAACTTCCCCCCCATTTTTCAAAATTTTGATATTAAACTTTGTTATGTGCTGTGATGACGGCTAAATTTTTAATATGTTACATTGTAAAGATTGTAAAGTAAGAAGAACAAATCTGTTCAAAATTGTCAGTTTACCATGTCAATTTTCAATGCAAGAAAACAACCTTAAAAAAGTTTTTCAAAACTGAATTTGAAATATGTTGTGGAAGAGAAAAAGAGCAACAATTTAGAAATCATATAATTTAGATTACAAGAATACTTTTAAAAGGTTTCATAACAAAATACGAATAATGGAACGTTACTACAAATATTGTTTATTTTGGTTTCCACTGATTTTTGATTTTCAATAACAAGTCTTCATTTGAAAGTCCAAGTTCAATTTTGAACTTGAAAACAAGAAGACCAACCAGTTGCGTTGAACATGTAACATTTAAAACACATGTTTATTCTTTATTAGTTTGCACTTTTGTTAACTCGGATAGCCGAAAAAAACTAATTCAAGTATATCCAATTAGCATACAATTTTACCCTTGCAATTCAGTGCTGTGTTTGGTCATTTCGTTTTTAAGTTTTCTAAGTAGTGTCTTGAATGTAAATACTCAATTAGATTGATAGATGTATGCGAGTTTAACTTGTTAAAATACCGCATTCAATTATCATAGAATCTGATATGAGGGGAGTACCTAAATTCTGGTTGACCCATTGACATTTACAGAACTCTGAGATTAATAAAACTTGGTAAAATCGAATAGTTGAATTAAAAACGAATAAGTATAGATATAGTTTTGTAGGATCTAGACTGACCCTGAATAAACCTATCTTAGGCAAAAGGTTTTAAATGCTCTTAAGTTTAATGGATTTTGTTCGCTAGCGTAACAAGAATAGATGGTCTGATTCTTAACGTTGAAAACAGACAGATAACATAAGAGTTGAGCACCATATGTAATAACAGAGTAAGACAGGTGGGTGGCCTTGACACCACTGCAACGGCTGCAACATAGAATGCACCGAATAAACATGCGATGGTTTATGCGTGGCATGACATACCCCTGGGCCAAAAAAAATCATATAACAGATGATTTTATATGTAACTAAACAAACACAATTCTCGACCGACAAAGTGAACTGAATCAAGCACCAGAATATAACGGCTTTAATTTAGTAACAATTGGAGTTTTGATATGAGTTTTTAACAAGAATTTTTTTTTATGTACTAGAAGTTTTTCTTGCTTTTCACTTTTTAAACACAGTTTCTTTTGGGGATAGTGGATCAGAAGAAGAACTTGGCTGGGTAAAATCCTCAGTGTTTCGTCTAATAAATCGTCGCTTCGGAGTGACGGAAGAACCATTAGCTTCGTGGCCTGTCAACGGTGAAGTGGCCACATTTTCTTCCACCTCTTTAACGGAATGCCGAACGGGACTTCCATAACGTGCCGGAGCTTTTCGAGTTCTGCATGAAGCCCGGGTACACGAGGAGGAGGAAACCTGCGAATCCACATCCTATTGCGATACTGGCGGAATTGGGGCTGCCTTTGTTTGAGGATCTATGTCGGGTGAAGTTGGGTTAACAGTTTGTGGTATCACTTGCTGTGACGAACACGATGGGCTGCCAATTTGTCTGGAGACAATTTTTCTGATACCGGTTGTTTTGGAGACGCCGGAACGACGTAACGCGAACGTAACGAAGGAGTTCGAGTTGCTGATGTATCCTCAGCAGGTAATGTGGCAATCGAAGTATTTGAGGCATCCAGATTGTCTATTGTGGAGTCCAACGGCAAGGAAGATGGCTTAAGAGTTGAGGGTACGTTAGATACCTGTATAGCCGACAATCCCTGACCCTGCACTGTCGAGGATTTCGAAGATGAGGTGTGGACATAGCACGAGGAGACCTCCTGGGCGACCGCGTTTGAGACAAAGATTCTTGATTGTCAGTGTCTGACAAAATGACCACCGACGGTGCTGCTGACCATTGACGAGGGCGATGGGACAGCGTTGCGTAGGCGTAACACTCTGGCCTCTTGGCACAAGCTTCCTTGGAGGCCTTTGTCCAACCCTGACTCCCAGCGCAGGAGCTACTGCTGAAGGTCTTTTAGCTAAAATCTTCACGCTTATTAACATTACGTTTTAAAGCGATACGATTCTTCCGGTAAACTTTTCCCAAGTTCGTAATGTACGTGTTGTTAGTGACCCGAACATTCTTGAACTTAGCCAGTTTATACAGTGGTTTTCCCGATTTTCTGCCTAGACATTTTCTATAATTTTCTACACTATCAGGACTATGTAGCAACAACGATTCTAAAGTATTCGTACCAGTAGGACTTTTCTTCGAAGTACTCGGTGAAGCCGAACGTTCTCTACTTGGTGCGTCCGCTACACGATCATAAAACCTTAGAGTACTTTTTACTAAGGCCAGTTTTTAAAGCATTATCAATCTCAGTATTCCGTGATCCCAATTCTCTCATTAGACTACGTCCCGTTTTCGTATTGAAGTTTCGCTTCAATTGACTCCAACGATTAGCAGCGCGAGCAAGTACTTCCAGGGCTTTGTACTGCTTGGTATCAGCAATTTTCTGTCCGGGTACAATTTTCTTGAATCGAAGTGGCACGTCAGGACTGTGGCTACCACGTTTCACCACTTTCACTCTGTCCAGGCTATAATCTTGGCCGTGTCGGTCTTTCGGCCTTAAAAGACTCCGCGCGAGTGAACTTCGATCTGAAGCCTTAGCAAGTATTTTATCTCTAGTCAAAGAAAATTCAGTATTAGGTTTTCTACCGAAGTGAATTTCAAAAGGAGGACACTATTTAGACCTTTATACTGAGGGTTAAATGCTTCGTTTCCCAATTTACGTTTTATAGTTTGGATCGTTCTTTCCACTAACCCGCAGCCACGGTGATCACCGACTGGACAGAGTATGTGTTCAATCCCTAAATTTTCGCAGAGTTCCTTAAGAAACTCACTTTTAAAGCCAGAACCGTGATCTGTGCGTATTGATTTTGGTATGCCATGCATACGTATATAGGCTTCTAAAAACTTAATGACTTTTATTAGAACCGGTATTTTTTGTACGTAAAGCGGACGGAAATTTTGAGAACCGATCAACAGCGACTAGAATGAAAACCTTCTTTCTTTTTCCGTCCTGCAAAGGTCCAACAAAGTCTAGCAGTAATCCCTTGTTAGCGGTAGCGGTAGCGAAGAATTAAAGTTTTGAGATGACTTCATGTTCTTACCGAACTTTGTACATTCCATACACCCTTGACATTTTTCGACAATTTGAGAATTCATGTATGGCTACCATATATATTCTGCCGCCTCTATCATACCTTGTTGTCTCGGATGAGATCTGTGTAAACGCGTAAGGATTGCTGAACAAAGTTTGAAAGGAATTGCCAGTTTGTTGTCGATAAGGATGCAATTGACCACCGCAGACGCGATTCGCCAAAACTGCGAAATGTACACCCCTTGCTTAGAAAAAGACTGCACATCGTTGTCCAGGATCGCTCTCTTCATAGGTCCAAGAGACTCGTCTTCATCAGTCAGTTCTGCTAACAATCCAACATCAATTAGGCTGGGAAGGCCTACAACTTCTCTTTTATCCTGAGAAACAAAGGGGTTTTGGTTTGACTGCGCAAACTACAAGATGCCGTTGCTGCTGGTGAGCTCGAATCACAAGTCGTCTGCGACGACACTTCTCAAGTAAGTCCGCTAACGACTGTAACGGAGTTCTTGGAGGACCCTGCCGATTCCTCCGGCCTCGAGTATTGGCTACCTGCAGTCGGTTATAGCGGAGTAAAAGGCGAGAGCGTGACGGGTTATCCGGAGCCATTTCCACAAAATTGGGAACTGGGGTGTTCGAATTAGGAGCTGAGGTGGTCGGATGATTGCTGTTCGATTGAGGAGCTGAGGTGGTCGTTTGTTCGCTACCTGGAGCCGAAACAAAATTTTCCACAAAATTGGGAAGATTTTCTGTGGTTGCAGTGTTTCCCAGAAGCGCAGAAGCGTTAATCGGAGAAGAAGACATACCACTATATAATTGGTCAACTGAATGTGAGTTAACAAATGAGCAGAACTGACTTGAAAATGACTTGTTTTGGCCTTGAGGAGGCGTGATATTGAATCTCAAATCTGATTGGCTGAGTGCGTGATCACACGTCCGATCGCCTTCTATTAGTTTGATGATTTTAGAGCATCTTTTTTTCTGATTGGCTGAGCACTTTGTCAAATTTGCGTAGCCCTCGCGCGGCTGAAAACTTGAATGAACGCACGCACATGATTGGTTAATACTTTCCATCAACGAACGCCACATAATTGTCATCCGGTTACTGAAAACCACAATGGAATCTGATTGATAAAAATCACCAGTCTCGCAAGCGACGCCCTCTTGCGAGGAACCACTACATCTATCACTAGAAAATTGCGATACAAGCTCATTGCCACCTACCGGCAAATGACGAATTTTACTGAACAATTCTGTTGGTCGAAAGAAAGAGAGTATGAAAGTGCGCCCTCTCGCGGCCCTGCACCAGAAATACTAATGCCATCTGGCTTTTGGTTATGATTCAAATTCCCAAAAGCTATTTGAGAAACAAAAATGGGATCGATAAATTCTGTCGAAGAAGCCCAGGCGCCGGCCCTAATTGAATTACACGCTTGAGTGAATTTTTTGATGGTTTTAATAACAAATAACTCATCATAAACAGAACTAGGGGGGGGGGGCTGTAAAAGTAGGATGGCGAGAAAGATAATATGCCATACCAAGCGTAGCACCTGCCATACCCAGCGTAGCACCAAGCCTGTCTACCCAACGTGTTAAACGCGACTGGTAGGGTTCATTTCCCCTGTGTTCTTTCAGAGCCAAAGTAATCGCTTTGTGGTCTGTAAGGATTTCAAACTTGTTGCCTAACAGATAAAGGCGGAAATGCTCGCACGCCCAGACCACCGCTA